ATGTAACATTTTAAATCAAGTGTCATTTAAAATAGAACAAATTTTGCGAACAATCGTTTTTAATGTGTCGAACAAATGCATGAGTCAATTAAATTCAAACAAATAAATTGTTAGTTGAATAAATTGAGGAATGAATATTTGTGACAATAAAAAGTAAAACGGCGTTCCATAACTCTCAAGGGAATACACTTTTTCAAAGTTTGTGTCTGTAAAACTTCAAGTAATTGGTTTTTGGTAAAGTTATCTTCAAAATACAAATTGTTATCCATTGAAAAACTTTGTATTTCATCTTTCCTCTAATTTTTCTTCGGTACTTTGATGAGCTGTCGCGAATGATTGGAAGCGTTGTCAAGAACTATTACACTATTCGCATCCAAATTTGAGAGCAATGTGTTTTCAAACCATTCCTTCAAAATATTAGCTTCCACCTTCTTACGATAGTCAACATTGCAGTCCTCAAGTTTTTTCTACATAATTTCAAAGAATTCGCAACCCATTCTTTACTTCCTCCGCAATGCACAATGATTAGTCGCGACCCTTTGATTGCAGGCATGTTAAGCGTACACATTCTCGAACCATTAGTCCACCCTTTCCTAACTGTGTCGTGAGTGTTATACCAAGTTTCGTCCAAATAGAAAATTTACCGTTGTTCTTGTCTATATTTAGTTATTTGTTCTAAGTATTTTTATGCAATTCCACTGCTTTCCATAATTGCTTGACGTTTGTTCATTATTTTAAATCTACATCTTAGTTTCTTTATCCAATTCTGAAGAGTTCTGTCACAACAGCTCACTTTATGGCCGGAAGTATTCAATTTCTTCCTTATGATTTCAGTTGTAGGAATCTTATTGCTTTTGTAACAGTCGTATATTGTTTTTTTCTATGATTTTATTAGATGAACATCTGAAGGTTTTGGTAATCTCGTATCACATCGCGTCTTGCGTTCATAAGGCTTATTTTTGACTATTTTACGTACATTTGAGAAAGGAATTTCGGTCAAATCTGATGTTGCTTGTAACAGTTTCCTCGAAACTAAACTTGAGATGTAGATTCCTATATACATTGAAACATTCAATATTCAAATGCATCCGAATCTTATTCACTGGTATTTCTTTTTCGCATTGTTCACCAGCGCTATTTGAATCACTACACAGGAAAAAGTACGTTGTTATCACACTCGTTATTACTATTAGTACTTGTCCAACGACGCCACATTTTAAACATAATTTCAAATAATTATAACTGCACCAATATTGAATTTCAACAGTCAAATCGCAATCAGTTCCTGAACTGAACATTGACGACACAACGGCGATACTCATCCCCACATTCTATTCGTCACCGTAACATGACTTCAAATTTAATTTTATGACTCTCCAGTCAATCATGAAACTCGGTTAGTAAAAATTATCCAATACGAACCGCCAATTCTTCAGTCCACGTGGACCAGTTGGCAGCGGCATTATTTCTCTGTATGGGTTTTTTGGCCTTTGAGATGCCGATAGCTTTAACTATTCACAATGCAGGTTATTTCAACTATACCTATCCACTATTCCATATTGAAAGATCTTTAAGCACTGTAATGTAGGCAACAGAGTACGTGTATGTATAATCCCTGATGGATTCCGTTGTTATCATTTAATCTAGTCATTGAAATGTCACATAACCATTTTCAGCATGAACTAGAGTGAAAAACTGCGTTATATCAATATGTACTTCTTTCAGGAATAGAGCCATCTCCAGATAGAATGTTACAGGGCCGGTTATTCAACTACGGCGATACTCATCGATATCGGCTGGGCATCAACAACACCCAATTACCAGTCAACAGTCCATTTCGGGTGAGCAACTACCAAAGAGATGGCCAAAGTACCCTTTCAAGTCAAAGTGGGGCCCCCAACTACCACCCTAATAGTTTCAAGGGTCCAGAAAACGACAGAAGAGCACGAGCCCTCGCACCTGTTCTTCCCATCTCCGGAGATGCTAAAAGAATTGACAGTGGTCAAGATGATAACTTTACCCAAGCCAGACTGTTGTATGAGGATGTATTAACACCTGATGAAAGGGGCAGACTTATAAACAACATAGTTAGTTGGTTGAAGTACGCTAATACGGTTATTCAAGACAGGAGTATCGGCAATTTTTCAAAGGTTAATGAGGACTTGGGCAGAAGGATTAGAGAAGGGCTGAATACTTACATTCCACAGCATGTGAACCTTTAGAGTTATTCTATTTTAATAGATTTTGTGGTTATACATGATTCGGTTCTTGGAATAAATAAACTCAATAGTATGAAGATATATTTGAAATTTTTATTCACAAGAAGAGGAACGAGATACTCAGAACATTATAAGTGTAGTAGTAAACTGTTCATTTCTGACAATATCATTAAAACAAATAATTGAAACATATGGATGGATGGATGGAAAATCAGCAATGTAACACCAATTTTCAAAGCAGGAAAAAAATCCCAAATTAATAATTATAGACCTATACAATAATGATAATAATAATAATTAATTGTCTTTATTTATACTGGCGGAGTTTAGCTCACGCTACTCTTCCACTCAACCAGTATTTTGTATTTTGGAGGGCATATTCGGACATTCTCTAGCCAACTAAAATATTTTCGACAATGCGGTGTTGCCGCTTCTATTAGAAAGCAGTAGCAACTTTGATTCTTCAAATGGAACACTCTGTATATAATAT